AAATAGATTAGAGAGATTTCAAAGAGAATTCTTGTGGGCAGGGTTAGGGGAGGAGAGGAAAATGCATTTGGTTAATTGGGGTACTATTTGTTTGCCTATGAGGATGGGGGGCTTGGAGTGAGGAGCCTTGTTTTGTTTAATAAGGCTTTATTGGACAAGTGGTTGTGGTGATTTGGAGTGGAGAGGGAGAGCTTTTGGAGAGAAATCATTGGGGCAAAGTATGGTGTGATGGAGGGGGTTGGTGTACGGTTGGGGGTCGTGGCTTCTATGGAGTGAGTTTGTGGAGGTATATCCGACGGGGATGGAGTGATTTTAGGGACAAACTAAATTTTGTGGTGGGAAATGGCACTGATATTAGATTTTGGGATGATAGTTGGTGTGACAATCAACCGTTAAAGGAGGGATTTCCTTCATTATACCGCATTGCGTTAGAGCCTGCTGCTATGGTGGGTGATGTACTTGACATTCATAATGGGGGCTATAGTTGGAATATTACTTTTGGGAGGGGTTTACAGGATTGGGAATTGGAAGATTATTCGTTGTTTTTGACCGCTCTGCATGAGATACAAATTCGGGTAGGAGAGGGTGATTGTAGCAGGTAGAGGCTGGCTCAAGATGGTATTTTTTCAGTCCGCTCATACTTTCAATCCCTTTTTGGATTCGTAGAGAGTTCATTACCTTGGAAGATGGTGTGACAAAGTAAATTGCCTCCACGGGTAGCATTTCTATTGTGGACAGTTATGAGGGGGCAGGTGTCAACGGTGAATAATTTTCGACGAAAAGGATTTTATGTAACCGAGTGGTGCTATATGTGCAAGAAGGATGGAGAGACAATTGATCATTTATTCATTCATTCATTGTGATGGTGTGCTTTGGAACAGTATTCTGGCTTCTCAATCAATGGATTGGGTGCTACTTAGGCGTATAGAAGACGTGGTGCGGGCATGGAGAAGAAAACTTCGCGATAAGGATAGCAAACTTCTCTGGAATCTTATCCCGGGATACATTGTATGGTGCATATGGAGAGAACGGAACGATCGATGTTTCGAAGGCCAAACAAAGACAACAGAGCAGATAAGAGAATTATTTTACTTGACTTTGTATACTTGGTTTAATGCAGTGGCTAAAAATCCTGTTGTAGGGTTACCTAATTTCTTGTTGTTCCTTTCATGCTTAAAGTGATTGTATACCTCCCGTGTACTCTCTTTTAAGGAATAAAATTCTCTGATTACCTATCAAAAAAAAAAAAAAGAAAATTTTGGCCAAAACAATCATCACCATCCGTGAGGAATACGCTGACAAAGGAAATCAGAGCTTGGGTTTGCAGGTAAGTGTGGACAGTAGGCTGAAACAGTTGGGTGGAACTAAAGTTAACAGGCTTAAATTACATGGTTTTGGCCAAATTATGAATCTATCCCAAAAGGATGTGGACCAAAAAAAAGTATCCAAAAAGGGCCCAACCTAATTCTGGCCTATATACCATTATGAACAATAATAGCAACCCAAGTGTTATCTCCAACACTTCCAGCCCAACTGTTAATTCCAGCCCTTATTATCTTTCACCCCAGTCAGCGTACCAAGCCCCTTCATTTTCAATCCTAAAATCAGTTTCCATTATTCCAAAATTCAATAAGCCGAAGCAATCACAACCACCAAATCAACTTACTATTTTGGAGCTTCAAGAGAGGATGGAAAATGGTTTATGCCTTCATTATGACGAGAAAAAACCAGTGGGCCATAATTATGAAAATCGAGGGTTACAAATGTTGGTGGTAACTAAAGATTTAGAGGAAATATGCTTCATAGAGATGGAAAACGAAGATGGGGAAAAAATGGAGCTTCCAAGGATGATAAAGCTTCAGGGGCAAATTGATCTTGACCATATGATATTTTTCATTGACGGTGCGGCCGGCTATCAATTGTTTACAAAAATTGGACATTTTGCGGGTAGAGGCGACGGGATATGGAGTTGATTTGGATACCATACTAGTTATTGTTGCTCGGCTAAATTGGTCCATCCACTTCAAAGGGTCGAAACATCCCTCTCCTACGATGACCATGGCTGGATTTCTTGCAAAGGAGGTTGTGTGGGTGTATGATGAACGACTCAAAACACAAGAATCTCCACCTTGAGGACAAGGTGGACTTTGGAGAGGCGAGTAATGATAGACTTCCACCTCTAATACAAAGTTTGTTATTCATTTATTATTCTAGAGCATTCCATAGTTAGTTAGCGAAAGGGTAAAAATGTAATAAAAAAATAGTGGAATTCTCTATAAATGAGAGGCGAGTAATGATAGACTTCCACCTCTAATACAAAGTTTGTTATTCATTTATTATTCTAGAGCATTCCATAGTTAGTTAGCGAAAGGGTAAAAATGTAATAAAAAAATAGTGGAATTCTCTATAAATGCAAGAGGGGGGAAATTGGGATGATCATTCAGGGAAAATCTAGGAAAATTGGGAGAGACCGGGCCTCTCGAAAGCCTTGGAAATTGTTACTTTCATTCTGTTGAATTCCAATACATCATTCAAGATCAACATTCCAGTAGCAACAGCACGTGAAGTCCTCCAGTTGAAACACAGCATCAGAGGAACCTATCACATACCAAATAGAATGATTTTAATTTATGATGTAATTTCACCATAAAATATGCAGGATTTCATACATTAAGACTTCTTGGCAGTTATTCTATTAAATTCTTCAGTTCGCCCTTCCAAAATGCCCAATTATAGTAATAAAATGTAAAAAAATTGACACCCACATTTTCAAATTGATGTTCTGAAATGAATTTGAAAATGTGGGTGTCAATTTTTTTACATTTTATTACTATAATTGGGCATTTTGGAATCTAAATAAAAATATACTTCCACTTTTGTTATTTGATGATATTCTTTGTAGTACACCAAAATAGGAAGTGTCATAGAATGAGAAGGAGAGTATTAGACTTCAAATGATGCACACCTATGTGTTCATATATGTATTCTTTATAAGATGAGCGCTCCCTAGTTTTCATGGGATCATTATGGAAAATGCTCAAAAGTTGCATCTATTTTAGTGTCTTTTAATTTGTTTGATAGGGCCTTACAGCTTCATGATGAGCTTAAAATTCACTCGTGATTAAAAATAAAAGATGCTTGAGTTTTTTTAAGAAAGAAGGAGAGTATTAGACTTCAAATGATGCACACCTATGTGTTCATATATGTATTCTTTATAAGATGAGCGCTCCCTAGTTTTCATGAGATCATTATGGAAAATGCTCAAAAGTTGCATCTATTTTAGTGTCTTTTAATTTGTTTGATAGGGCCTTACAGCTTCATGATGAGCTTAAAATTCACTCGTGATTAAAAATAAAAGATGCTTGAGTTTTTTTAAGAAAGAAAAAAAAATATAGAATTTGATGAGTTACAAGAGGGCGTGAGTGTTGTCAGATTTCCGCTTACCTTTTCATCCTTTTCAGGTGATTTGCAAAGTACTCTTCTTGCAATGAAGGACTCTGCCTATGAAGCCAGTGTTGCACTATCGGCTTTCGGGGGAATTATTAGAGGCCACAGTGCTTTGACTTCTGAGTGTGGTTCCATGCTTGAGGAGGTAAAATTTGTTTCATTCAACTTACTTCTAAGAATTGTTCTCAGTTTCGAATCGAGATAAATAATAGCTAGTCTTCTGTTTTATAAAATTCTTTCTTGGAAGTTTAAAGCCGTAAATTGATAACATTATATACTAATAGAAACACACTTCTACATTAACACCATCAATTATGTTCGTAATAATCCTGGATAACTGATGGTAGATAGTGAGATTTCCACTCTGATTTTGGGGAGGAGAAAAGGAATTGCTATATATGCATGGGATATTTAATTGTTTGCTCACCTGTGTCAAGTTTCCTAAGTACCTTTCCATGGTCAAGGGTAGCAGAAATGCTTGAGCACATGGAAGCTATACATTGTTATAACTCGGCTGTATCGAATTATGTGTTTCATTTTTACTTTGAAGTCTACATTTTTGCTTTCAATTCTCTCCATTTTCTGTTGGGGGGTAGGAAGGAAGGGGAGTTGCACAGGAGGTAGGCTGGGGTTACCTTAATGCTTACGATTAGTTGCAAAACTAGGACTTTATCTTTCTTCTTATGCTGCATATTTACTCGTGCAATTTGATCACCAAGACCGGCTTGTGTTCCTTAGCCCTTGTTTGACACCCATTAAAATTTTAATACATCTCTTCTTTTCAACCGCACATTCTTCAATAAAATAATATTATATGTAAATAAAAAAAAAAATCTTATTTTTTAACCAAACATTCTCCCCAAAAAAACTATTCCATAATGCATTTTACCAAATTTTTTCATTATAATGTGTGTCAAACAAGGGCTTATTTTGTTATGAAGCAAAATCCTATTCTTTATGGAATGAGGATTATGCTGATATCTTCTCCAAAATGTAGTATCATAACATGGAGATATATTACTTCTTCTATGGATAGTAACCCTTTATTGCCCATTCGTAGAATCTTTAATTATGAAGATCTATACAATTCCAAACTGCACGATCTCTGCAATTTTGAGGAACTGGATACAGACTAATTGACTTAGCACAACCTAAGAAGAAACTTCCTAAATTTCTAGAATCTAATTGCAGTAGAATGAATTCCAGATCTGTACGCACTAGTTACAGAGAACAATAGCCAGGTAAATGCAGATAATTATAGCCGGACAGAGATGAGTGTCAAATCTACTAACTGTCAGATCTTCCGAGGACAAGAATTTATAATATTCTAGTTATCTAATTCAAGTTATGGATGGGGACCAGTAACTTCAATCGTATTCCAACAAGGGACTTTGTTACTTATATATTAAGAGTTAAACAAATATTGATATGAGGTCTTAGCTGTTTCATCGTCCTTTCACGCCGCCACCAATTACACATATTCATGCGTTCACAAAGAGATTAAAAGTGACAGCATTGCATCTTATAGGTATCGTATGTTATATGAAGTGAGGATTTTTATTGATATGCCATTAATATTATGTTTTTAGTTTTTCATGGGAGTGTAATAGATACTTGTATGTATATCTTGACTATCTTCACCAACCTTCTCTAGGTCTTGGCTATCACAGAAGATTTGCACGACGTTCACGGTTTGGGAAAAGAGGCTAGCGCATTACACTTATCTCTTATGGAAGATCTTTCAAAGGTATGTTTTTAATCGTCATTACTTTTCTATGTTTGGTTCTTTGAAATACTTGGTAGTGGTATTAAATATACACAACATATAACTATGAGTTTCTTGTATTTGGATAGGCTAATTCGGTCCTGCTACCTCTTGAGTCTGTATTATCAAATGATGTTGCTGCTATGACTGATGCGATGACTCGGGAAAAAGAGACAAAAATGGAGATATCCCCCATTCATGGACAGGCCATAATCCAGTCTTACCGTATGAGGATAAAGGAAGCTCTTCAAGTGTTCAAGCCTTTGGTTCCATCTCTCATGTTGTCTGTTAAAGGCCTTTTCTCCATCCTGACTGGGCTAGCAAGGGCTGCGAGTCTTCACGCTGGCAATCTTCATAAAGTAATGGAATTGACATAATTTATATTAAATGCGTGATCTATTTTGGGTGTATACGTTACAATGCCTGTTATTACATATTTTCCAGGCTTTTGAAGGATTAGGAGAGAGCCAGGAAGTAAGGTCACAGGATATTGATTCATCAAAGGCAGATCTTGCTGGTCATGACACCGAGTACGATACTGAGGAGAGTGAGATTTTCTACAAACCTGATGGTGAAAATTATATAGACTCAGTTGGTTTAGATGGGACGCCTTTGCAAGATAAAGGATGGATATCTCCGCCTGAGAGCATCAGTGGTTGCAGCGCAGATTCCGGAGTTACATCAGCAGAGGCAAGTATTGCAGATCACTTGAGTTGTCTAGACTTGAAAGAGCACCTTTCTGGTGACTCTGATAACAAAGAGAACAGGGATTTACCACACTACCTTGCATCTTATGGATCTGATGCACACGGATCACCACTTGAGGAGACAGACCCAAAAATCATGCAGGTTTGTAATCATTTACTCTCTTAAAAGAAGCTTAATCTAGGGCTTCTTGTCATGATCTATCTCCAAAACACTTGTTACGAGCATTCTTTCTTTGAATCAGGAAATCTCCAATGTGAGTTTTGTCCTTAAAGACGAGGCATCTTTGTTGAACCATGACAAGATCGAGGATGGATCTCTTGAAACATCGTTAATTAACGCAGAATCTGGTGTTCGAGCAGTTGGTGGTAAGAAATCTAGTCTTAAGAAACGTCTTACTGATCTATGCTAGGGATGGAACTGCATCCTTTCTCAAACGTGTTACATTGCTTCCTGAATGATTGTTTGGGCTTGTAGGTAGAAATGCTTATGCAATGTCAATTTTAAGACGTGTAGAGATGAAACTAGATGGTCAAGATATCATTGATAACAGGTATTTGCTTCCAGTCTAATGCTTAACTAAATCCAATTGATAAATTTAATGTGGTTGATGATTTACCATTCTTTCTCGGATTTGGCAGAGAAATTAGCATTGCGGAGCAAGTGGATTTTCTGATCAGGCAAGCAACAAATATAGACAATCTTTGCAATATGTATGAAGGTTGGACTCCTTGGATTTGAGCTTCAAGAGACAATTATTCTGCAAACACAACTATAAAATCCGAGCATTCCAAGAGATGCTGTGTCTGTACGTGGAGCTCAACACTCGAGAATCGTCTATTAGCAGGTATCTGGATGGAAGCTCCTATTCCGAGTACAGTCACATGCCATGTTTATTAGCTACAAAGCCCAGAATTCCCCTTGCAAGTGATAAATTCAGTTGCTTTCTAGTGGAATATTCTACTGGATGCTCTACACTGGCTCTTCTCGTAAAGGTGCTAATCTTGGCCTTAGTTCATGCTCTCTTTCTCCCAGTGAAAACTAAATAATGCCTTGAGATTGTGGAGGAGGTGGATATGGAAATTTTGCGAGGTGACAGTTGTTCGGATATTGGCAGCAGCTGGTCAAACTCAATCTAGTTTTCCTGGTTTCACATGGGATCCATATTCTCATCTTTCGAGTCATCCACTGAAATGATGGATTCTAAATTCCTTGCAGTTCAACTCAACTGACAGGTTCAGATAATTTATGACAAGCTCTTATATATGGAAAACAAAATAGAGTCATTATTTATTCCGTGCTATGGGCTCTGGCATCCCAATGGTGTCTTGCCATGGCATAATACCCTGGGCTCAAGAATGTCTCAAGTTATATGTAATAATGGCCTTCGATTTGCTCAGTGATGTGATCAGGTTCGGGACTTAAATCCTCATTCTTAATCCAGTTATGCTGAATGTTATTCGCCATGCTTTTTATTTTAGCTATGAAGAAAGATTATTTATGGATTTTGAAATTAAAATAAACGTGTAGGGAAGTGTTCTATTTCTATGATTTTTGTAGTTTGTTTAAGATTAGATTGTTCGATCGTCTTTCTGGATAGAACTTGGTTACAAATTTTAAATGTTCGGATGCTTTCATGCACAAGTACAAATGTAAGGAATTATTTTCACTATGTTGGTGAGACAATACTACGTAGATACAAGAAAAAGATGAGATTAAAATTGTGTTCGTCAAGTCTCTACCAAATGTTCTTTTAGTGAACACTCATAATACTGTGATCCTAACTTCTTGCTAGAACAGTATACAGTGAGTCTGAATCTGTCTGGTTAATGTGCCAAGTCGATTTTGGATATGGGGGACCTAATCCAATCGACATTGGTTTTACCCAGGTTGATAGATTTGGAGCTGATCTCGTCTGCTATTCGGAGCCCTATTTGGGAAAATTTCAAGACAGGATCCTGGAATACCACTGGCAAGCTCCTAGAATGTGTGAAGAAACTTGTGATGAATAGTCTGATTTCTCCTTATAGCACACAGATGTAGTTCACAAATTTATCAACCCAAGACTCGTGAGCCACCTACGCACGTGCATATAGCACTGAATATCTGAATATATCAAGAATCATAATATTAATGTCTTCCGGCTATTTTCAATTTTGATTATGAAGTGTCAGAATTGACAAAATCACCGGGCTTGTGGACTAGTGAGTTGGCCAGGCTGCATGATACGGGTGAAGCCATTTGGTGAAGCGGCTCGGCCCAGCCAACCTTGAGGCTAAGCAAGTGTCTCATGAAGATCGTAGAAGGTCGAACCCAAATCTTTGGTGCTCACCAATCTTGGCTATAGCTATGCAAGTCAAGTTTTATTAAATTGGGAAATCTATAGGTGTTCCTTATATCATATTTAAATCATCAGTCTGCCACTCTGCCTTCAAGTGCTTAAATTTATTTTATTTAAAGTATCATTGAGCTTTTGTGAGATTGTTGGCAAAGGAAAGATATTATTATTTTTGGGGGAATAAAGACCATGGCCTTTTTTATTTGTCCTTTTTCTTCCTTTTTTGTTGTTTTCGACAAATATGAAATTTATTGTCCCTGAAACTTGACTCTGGAGAAGATTCCTTTTTTATACCTCAGTTGAAAATACGAATGGGAAGAAATTGGAATGATAATCACCTTTATTGATTTGTAGCTTATCGTAATTGGATCATTGAACTTAAAATTTGTCACTGTTCATTACTTCGTTAGTTTGATTGACGTGATTTTATTATTTAATTTTTCTGTTTGTCATCAGTATTTGTTATTGAAGTGGCTGAATCGTGACAAAACTTTTCTGAGTGTTTTCCCATTCGTATTGAATGAGCTACATTAGTAGGTTTAGACATCCAGCAAATCACAGGGGCCAATAATAAAGTAGGCATTTTTGTTTTCATGCAATTGCAATTGAGTGGTCCCACTAAACCTAACAAGTAATATGATGAACCTTTAAGTCCAAATTATTGTTCTCACGAGGACTATACTTTAATATTCAATTTAATATTTCTAACTACTGTTCGACAAAAGCAAACAAAGATTTTGTAATTGTTGATTTGATTAAGGCCTTGTTTGATCCCCATTATTTTCTCATTAAATTAAAAAATATGACCGTTATTCATCACATCAAATTATTATATTTGACTTTTTATCTCTTGTGTGGGACCTATAATGGTTATATTTTTCATTCTCATTTTTACAATAATATGGCTCAAACGAGGGCTAAATACTTGAAAATATCAAAATTGCACATAAAAGTCTATTGAAGATTCAAATATGAAATGGATATTAGAGTATAACAATTTCATATATTAATCAACTTTAAATCTTAATCCAAGATTTACATTAGGGATGGCAACGGGACGGGGTTGGCTCCCAAACCTCACCCCGCCCTACCTTAGATGGATAGGGCGGCGCGGGGTAACTTTTTGCCCTGTTTAATTTTTTTATATATTTTTATTTTTTTTACATTTTCAAAATTTAGAGTTATGTTATTATTAGAGAATAAAATACAAATTCAAAATGAATTTTTAACTGGTGAATTCTCTAGAAATAAAATTACTTTTAATCTTCTTTTTTTCCCCTTCACGGGGCGAGGCATCCTCGGCCCACCCCGCCCCATGCCCCGCGATAGGGTGCCCCGCCTTGCCTACCCGTTAGGGGTGGGGGCGGATTTTTTGCCATCACCAATTCACATCTAATGTAGCTTTCGATCGAACTCTTCTATTACCAATGTTTTGAAAATCGGATTGGACCGGATCCGTCGGTTCAATAAAAAAAAATCGAGAACCGGACCAATATCCAGGTCGGTCATTGCTTTAAACCGTTTTTAATTAGAACCGGTAAAAAATCGAAATTTCAGCCACTCACACCGTTAACTGAACGACTCGTAACCGATTTTGCCGATTTTTTCGGGTTAAGTTAACTATTTTATCAAATGTTTTCAAATTTCAGCCCAAGAAATTGACTGTCGACGTCCGTGCTTCAGCACTGCTTTGGCCCACATATTTATAAAATTCATCTTCAGTGCTTCTTTCTTAGGTTTCCGATGTGGGATCAAGAAAGATATTTGTACTTTGTAGGTAGATATCAATCAACTCTTTTTTCCAATGTGGGAATAAAAAAAAAAGGTCTTTAGGCTCCCAGTCCTCTCTCAGTCTCTTGTAAATAATTTTTCAATTCTAAAAATGAATAAATTAAAAGGCAATAACTTTGTTTAAAAAAGGGATAATACTGCCGCTATAAATAGGGATGGCAAAAAGGCTCGAGGGCTTGGGCCGCCCGTGGCTCGGCCCGCAAAAAGCTTGAGCTGCCTCGCAAAAAAAAAATGTTGAAAGGCAGCAAGCTGCTGCCTTTGTAAAGGCAGATGCCAATTGTCTTTTAAGGGAAGGGGAAAAAAAAGTGGGAAAAAAACGAGCCGGCTCGGCTCGGCCTGTTTTGGCTCGGTAAGGCCTGAGCCGAAAGCTTGGGCCGAGCCTTGATTTTTTATCCGAGCTTTTGCTCAGCTCAGCTCGGGCCAAAAAAACCCGTCTTCAAAAAGCCCGAGCCTTGATTTTTGGCTCGCAAGCCGGCTCGGCTCGACTCGACTCGTTGCCATCCCTAGCTGTAAATGATTTATCTTTTTAGATTAATTTCCTTTTCTTTGTTTCCATTTTATGTGATCTTTTATTTAATTTTATTATATTAATACAATAAAATACTATGAAAGTATTAAACAATTCACCATAAAATAAAATAAAAATTAAATGCACCCAAATTTAACCATTAATGGGCGCTTTTGTCTAGCATATTAACTTAATTTGAAATTAACTAAATTTTGTCAATTGTTTTGGAATATAATTTATTTATTTATTAAAACTGGTTTGACCCCGGTTTAATCCCAATTCAATCTTTCAACCCTTGACCCTTTAGTTTTTTCCAGTCAACATCTGGGCCGATTTTCAAAACATTGTCTATTACATTTAATGTACCCCTTTCGAGTTCTCATTGAGCCTATTTAATTGACTCAATTCCATATCTCTATGCAAATCAAGTTTAGTTAAATGAAACATTTGTTCTAAGAATTCATACATGATCGTAATAATTAGTATATGTATCTCTAGACATTATACAAATTTATCAGGTTTTATTATATGGTCTAAATCCTAAACTCACCTCTCGATTCATAAAAGATTCACAAAATCATCAAATTAGTGATCAAGTAATTCAATACGTTAAACTCATGGTAAAATCAACACGTGAAAGATAGAATAACAAGAATCTTGAATAAAATAAATAAAGGGTCTCAAAATATTATATAATACGCCCTAATATTAAATTTAGCTATTAATAATAATGGAAGAAAAACTAAAGATTTACATTGAGCACATCGTTGAGTTTTGAATTAAGATGTAGAGAAGATGATGAATCTTGCATCAAGTTCTGATATGACCTGGGAAGTGCAACCAATTATCAAGAATTTGATGAATGTTTGGAAAACTTTGGTATTGAAGAAATAAAATCGTGAGGCTTTGCTTCCAATTCTTTGTTCTGGATTGAACAAATCGAATTTATCAAGATTATTAATCTTGTGGTTTTCAAATTTCCGGTGCGATTCAATTAGTTGCGTAATCAAGAGGTCCTTCATAGCGCCGTTATTGTTGGGTTGCTTGATTCATCAAATTCTTGTGTCAATTCCATAATCCAGGTGAGATTTATAGATTTTCTTGGTTAAGAGGCCAATAGTTTAATATACTATTGGTTGCCTAGATCGTAATTTATAAATTAGATTTTAAACCTTGATTGTTGGCTTTCTTGGGATCCGATCTCAATTTGGTTGTGGGTTTAACAACAATTTAGTTACCCGAGTTCACATCAGGTGGTATCAGAGCTTGGACTCTAATAAGTTAAGGTTATATCATTTTTAATTTTGTTTGAGTCTTTGTGCTTAATTTTTCGCGTTCTTCGTTGTTGAGTTTCAGAGTACAATTTTTTTTACTGTTCAAGGTACTGTTCCATCACTATTTAAAATAATAATAATTTCCAAAATTTTTTGGCATTCGTTGAGTCCAATTCAAAATTTTGTCTTGAGTCTTTAAGGTTAGAGAATCTCACTTGGTTTGAATTCGACGAGAATAACTCCAAGTTGAGTTTTGATTGTTCTTAAAGCGCTTTTGGAGAAAAGCTTGAGTGGTAAAAGGCTTAATGGTGAGATCAACTGAGGGTAAAAGCCAAAATTGAGTGAATTTCCAAGTGAAAAAAAAAAATTTTGTGAGACAGAAAGAATAAAATAAAATTGTGAAAATGTCAAAACGGAAAGGATCCACTCCGACCAGGATGGGAAATCAAAATAACATGGCGGATGATATGATGCAGCGGTTTGAACTCGTGCTAATTAATGTGGAGAATAGGTTGGACAGGCTAGACCGACGGTTACAAACATTAGCCGGGGTCAATGGGTAGACATACCACATGCTAGGAGGCCAATTAGGTATGGTAGTGAGTGGGATGAGGATGAATTTGAAGAAGTTGAGATGGGAAGATTGAGGAATAGAGGTAGTAGGTTTGAAAGAAGGTATAGATATAACGTTGGAGGCTATAGTGATGGAGGTATGGGCAACATAAAAATGTCCATCCCAACGTTTAGGGGTAGGAATGATTTAGAGGCTTATTTAGAGTGGGAGAAAAATGTGGCGCTAACTTTTGAATACCATAACTATTCGGAGGATAGGAAGGTGAAGTTTACAGTCCTTGAATTCACTGATTTTGCCATAACTTGGTGGGATCAAGTGGTAACATCAAGGAGAAGGAATAGGGAGAGACCGATAACTACTTGGGATGAGTTGAAAGCGGTGATGAGAAAACGGTTTGTGCCTTGTCACTACTATAGGGAACTCCATTAAAAGTTGCAGAGTCTATATCAAGGATCGAAGAGTGTCGAAGATTATCACAAGGAGGTGGAGATATTGATGATTAGGGCGAATGTGGAAGAGGACCGAGAAGCCACCATGGCACGATTCTTGAATGGGTTGAATCGGGATATTGCCAATGTAGTGGAGTTGCAGCACTATGTGGAGTTAGAAGACATGTTTCACTTGGCTATGAAAATGAAAAAGCAGTTGAAGAGAAAAGGGGAGCTAGGAATCAACAAAGGCCCGATTCATCTTTGAGGTCTAGGTGGGATGAAGAGAAGGTTGTTGGGGCTGTTCTCAACAACAAAATTGAATCATCTAGGGAAAAGGATGACAATGCTAGCAAGACTGCATCAAAAGCGGAACCACAACAATCCAGGAGTAGGGATATAAAGTGTTTCAAATGTTTGGGAATAGGACACGTTGCTTTTCAATGTCCAAACAAACGAGCCATGATCTTGAAGGACAGAGGGGGTAGTGATGAGAGAAAAACAAAAGAAAGACAAAAGGATAGTAGAGAAAATGCTAAAGTGAGCCTCTATGCAGAAAAATGTGAGCTTGAGAGTGAGTTAGTGAGGACTAACACATCTCTCCCCAGTTTGAATTTATCTTTGATGTA